AATATTTGTGAGTATTTATGAGTGCATAAATGTGTCCAATATTTTATCCTCATGATTTTATGGGGAAGAAATATTATTCTCATTGTAAAACTGGAATAACCTTCTCTAAAGTAACAAAAACCTCCTTAGGACCTGCACTCAGCCACTAGGCTGTGCTGCTTCTTCAATAAAAATTAAACAATGGGATTTTTTCTCCCAATCAGATCAGCAAAATTTCAAAAGATTGATGGCATCAAATGTAGATAAGCATTTCAGGAAACAAGTACAAATTTAGTATTTTGATAGTAAGAAGAATCCTGACTCAGCACAGTGGTGCACGCCTGTAATCCTAGATTGCAAGTTCGAGGACGCCTCAGTAACTTAGCCAGACCCTGTCTCAAAAAAAAGGAGGGCTGGGGATGGGGATGTGGCTCAGTGGTAAGTGCCCCTGAGTTCAATCCCCAGTACTAAAAAAAGAATACTAAACTAAAAGCAATTCAGCAAAATAGCACCCAGCACAAAACATCCTCCACCCATGCTGGGGATGGAACTGAGGGTCTTGGGCATGCTAATGCAAGTGCTCTACCACTAAGCTATACCCAGACCCCAAAAATAGGTATCTGACTTTGGACTTGGTTTTTATACTTCCAGAAACTTATCCTACAAACTAATTTCAAAGATGTCTATACACCAATGTACAATGCAGTACTGTTTTAATGCCCCCCCCAAAAAAGGAGTCTGTATCCTTTAAAAATGGAAGTCAATCTCTAGAACCAGGTGTGGAAAGAATTCTAAAACATACTAAGTGAAAAACAACTGCCACAAAGGAATATGTACAATATTCTTTATGAAAAAATATGGTATAAACATGCGAAGGTTTGCTCTCTAGCATAGCTCCCCCCCCAAAAAAAAAGTCACATTATTTCTTCTTGGAAGAGTAAGGCTGTTGCTTCTTTCTCCTCCTCCCTCCTTCAAACAAACAAAGCAAAATCATAACTCAGAAAGAAGTTGTAGAAAAAGGATCACGTGTTACTTATCAATCAAAACAATCATAAAACAATTTTTAAAGTCACAAATACAACAGGTATATAAAGTCAATCTGGAGTCAGGTACTTCATTTATTTATTTATTTATTTATTTAGTAGGTGTAGTTGGACACAATGCCTTTATTTTATTTACTTATTTTTATGTGATGCTGAAGATCAAACCCAGGGCCTCACATGCACTAGGCAAGTGCTCTATTGCTGAGCTACAACCCCAGCCCCAATGGTCTTCTTAAATATGCTGCAAATTCTTGTACATCCCTGCTACTTTCCAAACAGATGTGGTTCAAACCCTATGGAGACTCTGCAATTTCATAGCTCGTAAGAGGTGAACAAAACTCACAATAAATAAACCAACAATTTTTTAAAATACTAAGTGGTAAATGCTATTTTTAGTTATAAAACACTCTTACTCAGACTAAAGTTAGTAAAAAGTTGTACAAAATTTGTATTTACATGTTGAAGATCCTCATCGTATTTTTCTTGAATAGTAATACACACAAGAACTCAAAGGATCAATAAAGAAATAACTGAAAATCCCAATAAGTCAACCAGGGAATTTCATTATAAGCTAAACACAAAAAGGCACCAAACATTTTTTTTTTTAAATTTTTTATACCAGGGATTGAACCCAGGGGTGCTTAACCACTGAGCCACATCCCCAACCTTTTTAAAATTTTGAAACAGATCTCGCTAAGTTGCTTGGGGCCTCACTTTGAACTTGCAATCCTCTTACTTCAGCTTCCCAAGCTGCTGGGATTACAGGTGTGAGCCATAGCACCCAGCACAAAACATTCTTACAGACTTTTCTTTTTAGAAACTATTTTGGCACCTTGTCAAGTGGTAGCAAAGCTCAGTTCAGTAGTTCTCATATTCAAGTGCAAAAATATTACAATGTTTATAAAATGTCCCTGTTCCCATCACCTGAGCTTTTGTCATGGAAACTGAGGAACTTATACTTTTAACAAGATCCCCAGTGATTTTAATGAAGTGCACAAGAATGCTGCTCCCTGAACATTTGAATTCTATCGCCCAACCCAAGCTCACTGCTCACTATTGGTTGGAAATCAGACTCCAACCAGCTTTACCTTGTTAAGTTTCCTCGTTTGCAAAGTCAATCAGACTGATGCTCTCTGAAGGCCCTCAAGCCCTAACAAGGCTAAGATGGACCCCAAATGCAGAAGAAATAGTTTCAGTTTGTAGAAGAAATAGTTTCAGATAGAAACCTAGCCTTCACACCAGGTGCAGTTTTTGCAGGTAACTGGGTTCCTGTCTTTCCACTATCTTCTGCATCTTGCTCTGTCAGTTCAGTTTTTAGGACATTTGAGTAGGAGAATTCTGACACACATTTATGTTAATGTGGGAGGCTTTTCTCATGCAAACAAGGAAGCTTCCAGCAATCCTGGGAGAAGCTACACAGACAATAGCCTGTGCTAAGCCCTGCTTGTTTAAGAAATAAACAGCCACCTCCCCACATCAGTAAGCAGGCTCCACAGCTCCTGTAAAACTCCATCTGTAGAGCTGGAAAACTCAATAGGAAATTTTAACACTTGTTGAACTTGAAGAATAAGAGCTGGATTTCCTGGAGAATTTCTTGGAGGTGAGGGATACTTGCATTCGCTTCACAGTTCGGACACTCCGACAAAGGAGAGCATTCTTCACATGATCCCTGAAATCTTGTGAAACAAAGTAATAGACAAAAGGGTCAATGCAGCTGTTGAGGGTGGACAGGCAGAGGGCTACAATGTACAGCGCATAGACATGGCTCTGGCCTTGGCTTTTAATCAGGAAATAATGCACCACGAGCAGAAGGTTACTGGGAGTGAAGCAGATCAAGTACATGGCCAGGACAGTGACAATGAGTTTGATGGCCCTCTTCCTTTTCTTTTCCGAGTGTTCATCCATGGCAGAAGATTGGAGCGTTCTGATCATGAGCACATAGGCAGAGGCTGTGAGGAAGGCTGGGAACATAAAGACTCCAATGGCTAGAGAGAGGAAGTAATTGAACATGTCCCCCACCAACACCTCCTCCGGCAAAACATCATGACAGGTCGTGATGTTAAGGGCTGGAATGTAGATGGTCTGCTTCATGACATACAAGGGAATAGTGACCAGCAATATCAGCAGCCATATTCCCAGGGAGACACCAATAGCAATGTTTGCACTCTTCCTGGTGTGTACCATGGGGTTCACGATAACCCAATACCTTTGCACGCTGAGGCAGGTCATGAAGAGAATGGAACAGTACATATTGCCATAGAAAAAGCCAATGAGCACCTTGCAAAGAGATTCCCCATAGATCCAGTTGTTGCCATGTATGTGGTAGGCAATCTTCAGGGGAAACCAAATAACAGAGAGGAGGTCTGCCACAGCCAGATTAGCCATGTAAATCACAGCAGGGTGCTTCTTCTTTGTTCGGAAGAGAAAGACCCATAGGGCTATGCCATTACTTGGTAAACCAACCACAAATACAGTTGTGAAGACAATTGGAAGAAAGACAGTAGTGAGCTTTCCAGTGAGGAGGGACGTGGAAAACTCATCCACAGAGAAGTCTGGTTCCACTGTAACTCCTTTTCCAGTGACTGAAGGGGGCTTATTATGCTTCCCAATAAGACTTCTTCCTTTAGAGGTTCTATTGGATCCTGTGTGAGAAAAGCAGACAAGGGTTATTGCTGAATTAAATGCTTCAGCAGGAAGTCTAGTTTGCTTAAATGAAAATATTTAGAGGAAGACAGAAATATAATATTAGAATATTATACAAAATGCTTATAAGGGCTTTCTTTGGGTGAAGGCACTTTTTTATTGAGAGTTGTGAAGCACACATGGGAAACTTGATATCAAGAAAAGATTTCTTGAAAAAAAATGACAGTTATTTCAATTTATTTTTAAAAACTGCATACTAGCTAGATGTGGTGGCATGTGCCTGTAACCCCGATGACTTGGAAGACTGAGGCAGGAGGATCCAAGTTCAAAGCCAGCCTCAGCAACTTAGTGAGGTCCTGCCTCAAAATAAAAAATAAAAAATAAATAAAAATAAAAAAGGTCTGGGGATGTGGCTTAGTGGTTAAATACCCTGGGTTCAATCCCAGGTACAAAAAAAAAACTGTGCCTACTCATTAGTTCTTGATTATTCTTACTCATGTGCCTTCATGGGTCAACTAGTAAAAATCAGTTTAGGATCATGAAGTAACTGCTTTATGAACACTTGTGTAAGACAGAAGCCCTACCATGACATCAGGTTTCTAATTGTTCATTTTGTAATGGCTGTCTATCCTACTCTGGCCCTGAGCCAGGATCCAGCCTAGCCTTCAGTCAAGCCCTATGCCAGAGCTTGGCAAGGAAGATTCCCAGGATTACAAGGGACATTCCCTCTCCACCCACAAGGAGGGCAGGAATTCCCTTCTTCTGTGCTGGTTTCCTGGAGACCTTTCCATAGCTACTTGCTGGCAGGCAAGTTTTTGAAGCTCAAGATCACTGGAACAGTGATACCAAGTTTGTGTTCTCATTTTCAAGATGTAACATACCAATTTTTAACAAATTACGCCTCTTCCCTTACATTATGAATTTAACAATAAAACTCATAAACAAGCCATGCGTGATGGCATGTGCCTGGAGTCCCAGCCCCTCTGAGGCAGGAAGATTGCTTGAATCCAGGAGTTGGAGGCCTGGCAACATAGTGAGACCCTCTCTCAAAATAAACAAAAAATCCAACAAACAAACACATCCACTCTTCATCCCTCCCCAAACAAATGCTCTTGGACCTTAGGAGGAAATGAGAACAATGCAGAATTTTACTTTAATTATAAAAAACAGTAGGCCTCCACCATGCAGAGACACATGTACCATAATATTATACCCAGGAAGGATATTATACCTCTAGTGAGTTCACCTGATAATTCTTATGCTCAGCCACCACTTTTCTTCCTTGTATCTTTGCACTTATGTTCAGCAAAATTACTCACTTCCCAAGGCTTCCCTAT